GTACAGCAAAATAGAACACCAAAAATTTAAAATCTAGGGAACATTGTTCCCACAGCATCATCACCAGTGAGAATTTGATTGATCCCCGCTGGAGTTTGCGGCAAGATGGTTGTGGCCGCCAGCAGCAGAATGACCCAGTGTTGCAACTTGCAAGGAAGTCAGGAGCAACATTACCTTCACTGAGGGTGTGCTTCAAAATACGGGAAGGAAATTGGCCCATGGGGGACTTGATGTCAGAAACTAAGGCCGCAACCACACATTGGTGAAATTTGTTGTATTATATGGGAGTCATTTAAATTTTAAAGTCCAAGGAAAGTGACTTACATTATTCACTTCAATTCAGAAGTGAGATGGTAAACTTAATTAAACCTTTTAATTGTTGAAGAGTTATGATCAATTACATATGTTTATGATTTTTAATGTAGTCAATATTTTGAAAATTCAGTTACATATGTAAATTGATTGTTCTTCTTAAATCATATATGTCAAAACTTTTGTTAATCTAGTGTATATAATAATTTAATAAAAAAAATATATTTTCTAACATATAGTTTACTAAAAAAAATTTACATAATCAATAAAATAATTAAATATATGTTCAATGAGTATGTCATACAACATGGACCAACATAAATTGAATATTTAATCCAATTATTAATTTTTCAAACTATTAACTGTATTTGAAATTGTAGGAGAGTGCAAGAACTTCTTGCTTTATATATATGTATATATCATACTCTTATTTTACAATTTGAATTATTTTAAATTATAAGACATTATATATGTAGTTTGAGATCAATTTTATTACTAAAAGCAGCCTTTTCTTTTTCTTTTATAAACCAAGAAAAAGTTTTATTATTTTGGAGTATTAACGAAAACAACTTATTGCAAAATTGATCTCAACTCATGGGGAAAAAAAAAAAAAAAGAATTAATGTCGTATGCTTTAGTCAATATCGCATGCCTTTTGGGATAAGCAACCCCACGCATTAATGGCCGGTTACAGTATGTATCTCCAAGTGTGATGAATGGGTGGGGTTATTGCCACAGCCACTAATGTTAATGCCACAGCTTTTTTAGTTATTTGACTATTATACCCCTCATTTGAATCCAACTTGCAGCAGTCACCACCTTCTCCGCGTGGGTTAATGGTCAAATAACTGAAAAAGGCTGTGGCATTAACATTAGTGGCTGTGGCAATAACCCCACCCGTGATGAATCTATAAAATGGGATATTTCTATAATAAAGAAGAGAGATGCTAGCGTGAAGTGCAGCTAACACTCAGAATTTAATTGGTCCGGGTGTGCATCTAGTCTTATGGGTGGTTTGGTTAAAAATACAGTAACTCTGCAATCTCATGAATTAAATTTAATTCCTATTACCGTGAAGTGCAGCTAACACTCTAAATTTAATTGGTTCGGGTGTGCACCTAATTGTATAAGTCGTTTGGTTAAAGATACAGTAACTCTGCAGTTTCATGAATTAAATTTAGTTCCTTCTTCTTTCTTTCAAAAAGATATTTGCTTAAAATAATAATTGATTTTGTGTAATTTTTTTAATTTAAAAAATTAAAAAAAAAAAAAGAAAAGAAAAAAAAGAGAGACGATGAGAACTAAGAAGTTGGAGTGTTTATGCACTCAATAAAAGAAGGTCATGTCTAATGACTCCTGGTTATTCTCTGATAGCGGCCATTGTGGGAAATTAAAAGGGAAATTAAGAGATGGGAATTGGGTTAGTGATGGGGGATCGAACCACCGAGCCCCTTCAAGCCACCATCTGCCACCACGCTCAAGGGCGGTTACTCACCTGGTGTTTCCTGGTATTCTTCTGGTAAATCCGTTCAAAAAGGATTGAACCCAACGGTTAAATTCTGTGTGATCACATAAAATCAGAAATGGCTGCTTAATGCTCATTCAACATAATATTGGTCGTTGTAATCATAGGGAACATATGGGTCGTATATCTCGCTCAGGCAGTTGGAGTCTTTAATTTCGTTCTATGTCATCATCATAATTAATAAACGAATTTTCATTGGTAAATTATTGCACAGCGTTCGTCACTGGGCTACTGGTTGCCTGTCCAACTCTTTTTTTATATTTTTTTGATGTGACACTTTTTTAATTTGTTGAATGGGGTGATAATATTATGCTCAAACATCATATGTTAAAAAAAAAAAATTACATTGATAGATTTGGTAAAACAAAAAAAGGTTGTTTTATGGTGCAGAGTGTTTCAAAACATAAATCACCAGATAAAGCCATAATGGACTCACTCTTATATTAAGAATCTGATTTAATAATTTATTGGATGCAATTCATTATCGACCGCTGGCATGCAACTCAAGCGATTACTGTATGAATTTTCACTCATCCTATTGCAGTTCAACTCTTGTTATTCCAATATCTCCTAGTTCAAAAAAAAAAAAAAAGGAATTCATTATCATCTGAATTTTGCGACTTTTTTCTGTGTTATAAATAAAGTAGGAGTTTTGTACCATTTATATTATATTAAATTATATAATATTAATAATTAAATAAAAGTAAGCCAGCACCTGACCCTCTCTCTCATGGGCGGATTTTAAACCGTCCTTGACAACTTGTTCCAAAAAAAAAGAAATAAGAGTAAGCAAAAAACCTCTAATAACTAAGTTCTTCTTATATTTAATCTTATATTTTATAATTTATTTTAGCTTAAAATTTTTTTTTTTTTGAACAGGTTTTTACAAGGAGCTGGGTCGAACCCAGCCCAGAGAGGGAGGAAGTGCACCGTGAGTGGCTGTTGCCACTTGAGCCAAAGGGTTCTGTGCTTATTTTAACTTAAATAACAAAATAAAAAAATAATTTTAAGATAACTTTTTATACTACTTTTAATATAACTTAACATATCATTTAAATTATTAATTTTTTTATTTATATAAAATTTATGATATTAAATATATTCACTTATTTAATAATAAATTAAAATTATATTAAAGTAGCGGAACAAAATATGACTCTATAAACAAAAAATAAACGTTGGTCAATGTATATTTATTTTTCTATATTGCTGTAAGGAGAAAAGTAAACACACATGAATACATAAATGCTGACCGCTTCACAATTTCGATAACATAATCAAGTCAAACCACCCAATTTTCTTAATCCCATCTCTCTGCTCTGCTCTGCTCTTCTCCTTCTCCATCGGATGGGACGCGCCACGAATCTGAGGGACCTTGTGGGCAAGCTCAAGGACAAGGCTTCTCAAAGCAAAGCAGCTCTGCTTTCCAACCCCAAAGCCTTATCCCCCCATTTAGCCCTCCTCAGAGCCACCACCCACGACCCCTCTGCGCCCCCAAACCAGAGGCACCTGGCCACGCTTCTCTCATTCGGCAACGGTTCACGGGCCACCGCCGCTTCAGCAGTTGATGTCCTTATGGACCGCCTTCAGACCACCCATGATGCCGCCGTGGCTCTGAAGTGCCTCATCACCATCCATCACGTCATCAGGCACGGCAGTTTCATTCTCCAAGATCAGCTTTCTGTTTACCCCTTCACCGGCGGCAGAAACTACCTCAATCTTTCGAATTTCAGAGATAACTCCACCGTTTTGGGATGGGAGCTTTCTTCTTGGGTTAGATGGTTCGCTGAATTTTATCAAACTCTTTCCTCTGTTTTCCTCTGTTTTGCAACTTTCTTCTCTTTACTGAATTCCCCTTGGAATTAAATCGAAATTGCAGGTATGCTTTGTATCTCGAACAAGTTCTGGCGACTTCTAGGATTCTGGGATTCTTTCTGAGTTCATCATCAGCGACAAAGGATGAAGTTGAAGAGAACGTATCAACGCTATTGAACAGCGATCTTGTCAAAGACATTGATTCTCTGGCAAACCTGCTCTACGAAATGTGTAAGAGACCCGATTCTTTGAATGAACAGGGAAAAAGGCTGGTGGACAAAGTCATGGAGTTGGTGGGTGAGGACTCATTGTCAGCCATAAATGAGATTGCGATGCGAGTCAATGAGTTGAAGGAGAGACTGAGTTATTTGAGCTTTGCTGATTCGGTCGAGTTGGTGTGTGCTTTGAGGATGCTGGAGGGTTGCAAAGAGAGGCTGGCGGCAATTCTTACGCAAGGAAAGACGGTTTCGACGGAGACTTTCTGGGGTTTAATTGGGGAAGTGAAGGATATGGTTGAGGATAGTAAGGTGTATACAGGGGAGGGGAGATTGTTGAGCACGGGAAGCAAAAATAACGGTAGTGAGTCGGCTCGGTTCGACGACCGAGCTCTGAGGCGGAATGATTCAGTCCGGTTCTCGTCGGGGAGACTGTTGGCCTTCACAGATTTGGTATTCCAATCGTAGAGACGGTGGAATTCAGAAACTGAGGAGAATGTATAGTGAGTTCAAGGATTTGAGATTGTTCCTTTTTTTTTTTTTTATTCCATAGATTTCAGATTGCATGTAGCTAGGATTTTCCCCCTTCTGTTTTCTTCTTAATCTTATGATTTTGCTGTTAATTGTAACTCAACTTTATAAAATGGGTTAAATACTTCTCAATTTTTAGATTTTTGCATATAATTTTAGACCAAATACGATTGAAAAGTTAGAAAAAAATTGAAGTTTATATTATCTAAACTTTCATAAAAAAAATACAGAAAGTAGAGAACTAATTTTAGGGAGTATGTGATTTTAAGCCTCAAGATTGATTTATTAGCAAATAAATGTTATTTTATAAATCAAATTTAAAATTTAAGTTTTAAGGTTAATAATAAAAGAATTAATTTTTTTTAATATATCAGATTGATATAGAAATGTAATTTCAAATTTTTTTTTAAAAAAATTAGTTTTAAAATATATGAAAATTGATTTAAAGATCCTATAACTGTAAATGAATAAAAGTATATGATTTTTGCTATGCATAAAGATAAAGATTCCCTTTTTATTCTAATTACAAAACCATTAAATTCACTCTCAATTGTCTACAATTAGAATGTTAAGGTTAAATGTTAATTTAAGCCTTTAAATTTTTAATTTTAAATATTTTTAAGCTTTAAATTATTTTTTATATTTTTTTCATCCTTGAACTATAAAAATGCATGCTTTATTCCTTTTATCAATAAATTTATATGTATCTATATTATAAGTTTATGAATTAAAAATATGTATATATGGATACACTTACTTATTAAATTGATAAAAAAATTAAAAAATATATATTTTTTTCATAATTTAAAGACAAAAAAGTGTAAAAAATAATTTAAAAACTTAAATTATTCAAAATTAAAAGTTCAAAAATTAAAAATAACGTTTAACCGGTTTTAAAACTAATAATAGATGGCAAATATAGAGAATTAAACTGATGTTCTTTTTTTTTTAAAAAAAAAACTAAACTAATAATATTTTAACCTTTTCTGTTTTTGGTTCTGAATACAAAACACTTTGAGCATATATATATATATAGGACAATTATACATACACCCAAACAATCAACACCCATCTCAACACCCAATGCTAAAATGAGGAGGGACAAATTTGTAATTTTACTGTTCATAAACATTGGGGGTTGAGATGTGTGTTGATTGTTTGGGTGTATGTATAATTATCCACATATATATATATATACACACACATAATGTTTATAATCTTAGGAATTAAATTTATCACTAAGAAAATTCAGTTTGTTAAAAGAAATTGTGAAAAATCAAGACCTCTTGATAATCAAAATACCATGACTATCTATGAAATTATTTAAATATCATTAATGAATCAAAATATAAAAAAATTCATTAAAAATATTTAAATAATTTTATAGAGAATCCTAATATTTTAATTGTTAAAACATCTTAATTTTCACTTTTCTATTGTTAAAATGTATAATTTTCTCAAATTTTGCTTTTAATTCAATTAAAAATTTACATATAAAATTTCTTTCTAAAAAATTTTTAAATTAAGAAAATTTGTTTAAAGGGCAGTTTGTTAAATAGCTTTCCCAAACTAATAGACTCATAACTCTTCATGCTTGTTCTAACAGTAAGGGCCTTGGTTCAAAAAGAAAGGTAAATGGAAAATTTTATGTTTATTTAGTTTTTTTTTTTATTCTTTGGGGCCATCTATGTTTATTTGGATAATTGGATGGTTCGTTAAAAATAGCAAGGTTCCACCGAGATTTGAACTCGGGTTACTGGATTCAGAGTCCAATGTCCTGACCACTAGACCATGGAACCATTTTGTGTGAAGGGCTGTGTTTGTTTTTTCTTTATAGATTTGTACATACTGATGTCATATAAAATTTTGATGATTAGTTCTTGTTGAAAAGTATCTATTCAACCAACAACAATCCAATACTATGTGACCTAGTTATCCTTTCTATAAGAATGTGCCTGAACGGGAAAATTTTTGAATTTATTTCCAAATACTACTTTTTCTATTTCCAATAAGTCCTTTAAGTAAAAAAAAAAAAAAAAAACAAAAAGTCTTGAAAAAAGAACCAAAAGAAAAAAAAAAACCCGTCCTTTTTTTTCCTTCCTTTCCTTTTTTTCATTTTTTTGTAAATAGAGAGTTGCATTAAAAGTAAAGCAAGATACACAACACAAATCAATTCTTAGGGTCGCAAACTCCAACCATATCAACTACGCATAAAGGATTAATATCTGGAGAACATTGCTACAAAATAACAAAATCAGAAGAGGAGTGGACAGCCTTCTTGGCAATGGCATGAGCAGCCATATTACGTTCCCTCAAAACATGATTCATTTGGAGGTGAGAGATCATTCTCAAAAGGACTGTGCAATCCATAAGAAGAGAGCTATTAGGGTGATGAAGGTTGGGATTAATTACCAGTGAGCAAGAGAAAAGCCACTTTACAATAAGTCTCAATAATCATATTATCAAAATGAAAATTAATAGTTAGATGAAGTCTATCACAAATGGCCCAAAATTCAGCAACTAAGGCAGTCGTAATACCAATCTTGCACACATAACCAATAATCTGGTGGCCCTGAGAGTCACGGAACAGTCCACCACACCCAACTTCTCCTGGATTCCCAATGGCAAAGCCATCTGTATTGAGCTTAAACCTTTTTTTTTTTTTTTTTGCGGTGGTGGGGAGGGTGATTTCCACATTCATTTATTCACTCTACTCGCTTTGTTGTACCACTAAAACTTATAAAATGTGTTTTTTTTTTTTTTTTATAAAAAAAACCATTAGTATAATTTTTATGAACCTGTAGGCTAATTCTTTACCTGATGATAAAATCACACCCCTACATCAGCGTAATTATAATTATTTTATATACTGATTTCAAAACTTAAGATTTAAATTTAACTTACAAAATAACACATAATTATATACTCCCAAATTCAACTCTTACTATTATTATGAAATGTGCATTTGTTGAGTATAATTGAATTTACGACTCGACCCAATATGTAACCCAAGCCCAATATTTTGTTGACAGGCCTCAATCTGATTTTGCATTAGAGCTACCACGGCTAAGTAGTGTTGTATTTTTGACTCGATTTCTCGTTATGCATATCAGGTACGTCTTTCTGCTTCATCCCTACGTAATACAGCTAACAAGGTGAATAGTACCTTCCCAACCAAGCTATAGAATATGTTTGAAATTAATGTGAAGTATTGTAGCTGTAACTGTAGTTATGGTTGTAGCTATGACTATACTAAACTATATTGTATTGTAATTATAACTAAAAATTATTTTAGTGATTGATTATTTATTGTTTAAAAGTATTATGAATGAAATATGATAAATTTTATTAATTATTAATTAAAAGTTAAAAAATATTGTAAGCTATATAATTATTAAAATAGATAACATTTACTATTTTTTAATAATTTAGGTTTTTTAGATTTGTTATTATAATATTATAAATTATGATATAATTAAATTATAGGAAATTGAGTTTTAATGAGTTATTTTATAATTATATTAAATATTAGGTGTTTTT